AAGGAAAGCCGGCCCGACCCCTATGGCTCCTCCTTAGGCCTTAGACGGGCCAGCCAAAGCATGGGCTGGGCTATACCGGGTGCCAGGTGGAGGGGAGGCTGTTGGGCTGTCGCTGGCTCTGGGGACTTTGGGAAGAGGAGCCAGGAGGCAAGGCTGTGTGCTGTGCGCCCGCCCACCCGCCGCCTTTCCGCCTGCTGCAGGGCCTGGAGCAGCCGCTGGGAGAGGAAGTGCAGTCAGTTACCAATCGGGTTATTTTCATAACGGCTGTCTCAGGCTGCGGGGAGGGGGTGGTGAGGGGGAGGGGGCAGAGGAGCAGCCTCAGCAGCTGGCTCTCCAAACTAGGACTTGCTCAGCAGAGGCCAGCAGCCCGAGCTGGAGCCAGAGCCGGGCTCATGGGCCCCAGCCCCACCTGCTTGCCTACCTCCTGCTTGCCATCCTGTCTTCCAGATCAGGTCAAAAGGGGCTCCCCCAACCCTTCCTTGCCTTCTGCTTCCTCCCTCCTATAGCTGTCTGGGTGGTTCTGGGGAGGGTGGGTCATGGTGGGCCCAGGCACTCCCCTGCCTAGATGAGAGTCTTGCTCTGCCAGGCTCCTGAAGCTGATGGAAAAGAAAAAGGGTGGGGTCAAGCTCCTGCTCCTGAGCCAGGGCAGACCCTGTTGAGGTGAACATTAACTGGCTTGGTCACCTCCTTTACCATCCACACTGGCCCACCTGCTCCCATGTACATTTTTGTTCTTTGTTTTGTTTTGGGCAGGATCCCTTTAGTGAGTAGAGGCCTGGGGAAGTCAGGACCCTGCCTCACCAGCCCCCAGCCGGCCTGGGATGTGCTGGCCTCCCTCTCAGCTTCCCTCCACCTTCTCTCTGTGCCAGGGGCTATAAGAGCAGAGCAACCAGAGGTGGAGGTTAGAGGGGAGTCAACATACACCATGCTGATCCTGCCCACGGCATGGAATGGGCACTCTGGCTGAATCCCACGGGGTGTCCTGTGAGAGCAACTCTGAAGGCAGAGGAGGCCCTGGGAGCCAGGCCTGGTACAAGGGGAAGACGGCATTCTTCACAGCATGCACAGATACCCAGGTGGCACTGGCTGCCAGGCTCTGTTCCTCATGTGGGAGGTGGTGGCCACCCTGGGCACTCCTGCTTCCCTTTCTGTGTTCCTACCCCTGCTGTGGGCAGCCAAACCCCAGGAGGTGGCACAATCACAGGCACTGGTGTTTGTGGTGGATATAGGCCCTGCTGCCTCTGTCCTGCCAGGTGTCATCAGGTAGCTTACATCCACCATCACATCAGAACCTCCCTGATGCCAACCTTCTGAACTAGTTGGCAGGATCCCCATTTTGCAGATGACCATGTTGAGACCCAGAAAGTTAGTTATCAGCCCAGGGTAGCAATAGCAGGAGGTGCAGGTTTCCACAGCCCTTGGGCTTTTCCACTTGAAACTAGCCCAGGATGTAAGGTGGTCTGGGCAGGAAGCTTGGTGTCCTGTCCTTTCTAGCCAGTAGCCATCCCCACTGACAGCTGCCTTAGCTCAGCTGCCCACAGCCACGCTTGCTGCCGTTCATCAGGGGTGCATGGCCAGCACCGTATGACCATCTCTCTCCTAACATCCTCTGTCTTCCCATGGGCCCCACCCTCACCAGGGCCCCCCATAGCCAGCTGGAGGCCTTTCCCTGCTAGTCCCCCTTGTGTGTGACATGCTGCCCCTGAGCTCCCCCACAAGGAGACCAAGGGGCAGCCATTTTGCTGTGCTGTTGTCTCAGAACCCTGTGGGGCCTCTTTGAGTGACCTTTACATGTGCCGTGTGGTGGGTTGGTGGTGACAGAGAGCATGAGGTGAGAAGCGGCTGCCGCTCAGAGCTACCCTATAGGAAGAAGCTTCGGGCCTAGCCAGGGCTTCTGACAAGGCCCAGGAGAGGCCTCAGCAGAGATAGGAAGTGAAGAGTCAGGCTACTGCTGACCAGAGGACAGAGGTTTCTATGGAGACCAGGGGAACAGGAAGCATGGGACCCGGGGGGAAGGGCACTGGGCACATATGGGCGTGGGTGCCCAGCAGGAGAGCCTGTCATAAAATGTCAAACCAGCTAGTCTGACAGCTGCCTCGGACAAACAAGGAAACTGAGGCTCATGAGGGGACAGCTTTGCACATGGTCACACAGCACTGGCTTGGCCTTGCCTGCCTTGCTCTCTGCTGGGAGGGACCTCACCGTCGGGCAGCTCAGGAGACTCCTGGACAGATGTGGATTTGGAGCACCCAGTGGTGTGGGGCTGAGCACTGTGGGAGCACCTGTAAGCTGCGACCTCACCGTCGGGCAGCTCAGGAGACTCCTGGACAGATGTGGATTTGGAGCACCCAGTGGTGTGGGGCTGAGCACTGTGTCCCATGTCGTGAAAGAAGCTTGCAGGCCACCTCTTCCTCTGGTCCCCGTTGTCAGTGTGGGTCTGGGGCAGCAGGCAGGGCCCAGCCCTCACTGCCACCCATGGAGTGCAGTGGCACCTCCCCCACACTGACTGTGGCCTTTTGTTTTCTGGGTGACACTAGCATCAGGCGGTGTGTCCGGGTGACTAATCTCTTCCAGGCTGGGCAGCTGTCACAGGGCAGCCTGACCAGATGGGCGGGGAAAGCTGACACCCTGGGGGTGCTGGCAAGCTGGTGCCCTGGCAGCAGTGGGCAGCCAGGCCTTCAGGTTCCTCTTCCTGGACACAGAGCAGACCCGAGTCAGGCAGACCTGGGTTTATGTCCTGGCTCTGCCGCTGGCTGGCCATATGACCCTCATTGAGCCTCAGTTTCCTCATCTCTGTATGGAGCTAATGGTCCTGACCACCTCACAGGGTTGTGGTAGGGATCAAATGAGATCATAAATTAAAGTGCTTAGCCCAGGGCCTGTCACATAGTAGGTGTTCAGTAAATGGGATCATTGTTATTCTTATGATGGTTCCCTTCCCTACCCCATTCCAGCCTCATGGTCCAAGAAAAACCCTGTGTTCCACCCTATCTCTGAGGTAGAATTGGGTTCAAACATTGGCTCTACACTGACTTGCTGTGGACTTTGGGCAAATTACCTCTCTGTGCCTCAGTTTCCTCCTCAGGAACATGGCGTAATACAATACCTATTCCTTGGGGTTATTATGGTATATACAATGATGTAAGTGATTATAAAGGGCTTAGCACAATGCCTGACACACAGTGGGCTCAGTAAATGTTAGCTGTGATGATACTGATTTTAGGAGTAAGCCAAGCACTTACCCACAGCTGCTCTGCTGCCCCTGGAGCTCGCCTCCTGCCCGGTCCTTCTGCTGTGAGTGCAGCACTTTCTGGGGTTGCGAGAGCACTTCCCTGCCCTGCTCCCTGTCATCAATGGGCTGGGGACTCTTTAACAGGCAGAGAGCTGGGCAGTCTGGAACATTGCCTCCCTTGATCACAGGAGCTCAGGCACCTCAGCCCTGTCCACCTCTCCCCAGCACCCCTTCACCTGTCCTGAAGCTGCCTGCCCGATACCCACAGGGCATTGGCAAATCAAAGAGTGGGGTGGGTGGGAGGAGAAGGCGCTAAACTGACTGACTCCTGACTTCATAAGCCCGTTGTCTCTACCTTAATCCTCCCTCCTGCCCACCGTTTCTCCAAGGCACTACCCACCACACCTAAGTATTTCCCTTGTCAGTCCCAGGCAGCATTGTCTCATGGCTGTGACTTGGATCTCTGTGCTGCCAGGGGCTAGGGGGCATCCCCCCTATCAACCTCTCCCCAGGCTCAGGGGCCAGGGCCCAGGAGAACACCTGATGGAGGGACCATACATCCGCAGGCACTCTGGAGGCATCATTGCCATGAACCATACCAGGCTCCTTGCACTTCCCGACTGTTAGGAGAGGTGAGGGCACAGGAGCCAATGCCAGCAGCCCATAAAGAAGGGCAGGGCAGGGAGGAGGTGAGCTACGAAGGAAGCAGAGCATGAGCTCAGGACAAGTGGAGGAGGCTGGCCAGAGCCAGGCTGGTGCCGCCAGCTCCTGCCTTTCTGCAGAACGAGCTCTGGGCAGCTCCATGTTTGGGACTGCGAGCTCTGGGGCTCCTGCCTCAGGGCCTCAGGACAGGGTGCAGTTCACAGGCGCCCCCAGCGGCCGAGCTGGAAGGGTTCTCAGGCATCACCCGGTGCTTCACACTTGGGGTGTCCATACTCTGCCCCTTTAGAAAGATGAGGCAGAGCAGCGGAATACCAGAAAGTTCTTAGCATCAGCCTCTCAGAGACACAGATGCGTGCACACCCAGAATCCAGAGGATTTTCGTTTGGCTCAAGCCTCTTGTTGCATCCCCCTGAGTGAGGACACGTAGCTTCTCTCCCTGGCAAGCTGACTGTTCAGTTCTCTGAAGCCTGGCCTCCCCACAGCCTTGGGCACCTGAGCCAGACCTCAGATCCTTTCCATTTCTAGGTGCCACCCTCAGCCTGACCCCAAGGCTGAGAGAGTGTGGGGGTCTTATCAGGACCTTTGCAGAGAGCCTCATTTTATTATCACAGCTCAGTTTGTGCCATGTCCCTGGAGGGAAAACCTGATCTGTCCTATGTTGGTGGCAAAAGAAAGGCCCAATGAGAGGGAAAGCTTGGCCCTAGGTCCCACAGTCTGTCTGGGTAGACTCTGACTCCCAGTTTTCTCTTTCTTTTCCATCGGTTTCTGGCAAGGGAGATGAACTCCTTCGGGCCTTGGCAGGGGAAGGCAGAATGGGTAGCTGGGAGCCCCCTCTTAACTGAGGACTCCTGGGGTAGCCTAGGGTACAACTGGGGAGAGTGTCAGTGCTCCAACAGCTATAAATGTGGACTTCTTGAGAATTCCCTGGTACCCTCAAACACCTCCCTTTCATGGAGGTCAGAGGCCATAGTTACCCACTCTCTCCCTCCCTAGTGTCCCTTCTCTGCTCATGAGGCAAAGGCTGTGAATGGGCTTCTGGGTGCAGGATGGAACATGGCCATGTCCAGCTCCTGATGCTCCCGGTCTCTGTGCCCAACAGCCACCCGCCTGCCCCTGCCATGGAGACCTTCTTTAGGAGACACTTCCAGCGGAAGGCACCAGGCCCTGGAGAGGGGCAGCGGCGGCCCAGCGGCGTGGGGCTGCCCACGGGCAAGGCACGGCGCCGCTCCCCTGCCGGGCAGGCCTCCTCCTCACTGGCACAGCGGCGCCGCTCCAGCACACAGTTCCAGGGCTGCCTGCTGGGCTGCGGGGTGGGGGCCCGGGGTAGCAGGCGCCGGCGCTCCAGCACCATGGCCCCTGCCTGCAACCCTCACTGCATCGTGGGTGAGGGGCCCAGCCCACAGCCTGCCACTGTTGGGGCCCAGCTTCAGGGTGCACCCCCGCTGCTGGCTGGGCTTGCGGGCATGAATGAAGAGGAAGAGGAGGGAGTCCAGGAGGAGGATGTGGCCACAGGGCCATCAGGTGCCACCCAGCCAGGCACCAAAATACCAGGGCCACCCCCGCACCGGGGTGCCCAGCCACTGCTGCCCGTGCCCCGTTGCCTGCTCCGGCGCCGAGCTTCCTCCCACCTGCTTCCTGCTGATGTGGTATACGACCATGCCCTCTGGGGCCTGCACGGCTACTATCGGCGCCTCAGCCAGCGGAGGCCCTCAGGCCCACTCCCTGGCCCCGGGGGCAGAAGAGCCTCAGGTGCCACGGCTGGCTCCACAGTGCCCACCCGCGTGCGCCCACTGTCCCGCAGGCGCCAGGTAGCCCTGCGGCGCAAGTCAGCCGATCCCCAGACCTGGAGCGCCCTGCTTGCGTAGGTATAACTGCATCCAGCAGGGTGAGTGGTACGGCCTCCCAGCAGCCCAGTATGGGCAAGGACCTTGAAACTTGGCCTGATCCAAGGGTGCCCTACTTAGGAGCAGCTCTGGGCAGTGCCCCAAAGCTAGTACACCCCAGAAGGTCCATGAGAAGGGCTGAGTCTCCTGCAGGGAGCCTCTCGGTGTCTGGGGCTGCAGTGGGTCTCTTCTCCCTGTCTCATCCTTGGGTTGAGGTCACAGTGAGAGCACAGATCCCAGGTGCTGGGGGAAGGAAGTAGAGTCAGCAAGTGCTCAGCTGTCTCTGGGGGCCTCAGCCGTCTTCTCTTCTATAGGAAAGCCATCACCAAGTCGGGCCTCCAGCACCTGGCACCCCCTCCTCCTGCTCCTGGGGCCCCGTGCAGCGAGTCAGAGCGGCAGATCCGGAGCACCGTGGACTGGAGCGTGAGTGGCTAGGTGCTGGGAGGGTCTGGTGCACCTGCATACCACAGGGACCAGTCCCTGCTGGGCACTGGCCACAGAGCAATGAGGGTAGAGGGAGAGGAGCCCATGGGCCCGTGATTCTGGGCAGACTTCCTGGGTTGGCCACGTTTCATCCAGGCTTGAAGAGTAGGCACAGTGGGGAAAGCAGGGTAGAGTAAAGTCAGTTGTGGTGGCTGGAGCACAGGTTTGTCTGGGGAGAGGGAGGCTTGGCAGGGCATCAGGCGTGCACTGAGTGTGCTTACCCCATGGTCTAGGAGTCAGCGACCTATGGGGAGCACATCTGGTTCGAGACCAACGTATCAGGGGATTTCTGCTATGTTGGGGAGCAGTACTGTGTAGCCAAGATGCTGGTGAGTGAGCTCTGTGCGGTACGCTGCCCCCTGGTGGTGGTGCAGGCTCTGCAAGCCTGTAGAGTGACCCCTGCTGGCCTGGCAGCTGGAACCCTGCCCGGGAAGGTAGGAACAAGGTGGATCGAGCTCTCATCTGAGCGCCCCCGCTGCGGACTGCCCCAGGATGGGTGAAGGGAATGGGAGCTTTGTCATTCTGCCAGGTGCCAGGATTGGGGTTTCCCATTGCACATAGAGGGCAGCTGTGCTGGGGCAGATGCAGAGGATTTCTCTGCCTGCCCTGAGGCAGGGTCTGGAATGACATTCCCTGGTGCCTCAGGGGGCCTCTCTTTCTGCCCTGCAGCAGAAATCGGTGTCCCGGAGAAAGTGTGCAGCCTGCAAGATCGTGGTGCACACGCCTTGCATTGAGCAACTGGAAAAGGTGAGCGTGGCTGCGCAGCCTTTCGCATTGGGCCCTCTGCTCTGAGAGCTAAAGCCCTCTCAGCAGGTGCACGTGTGCATCTACACGCGGGAACGCATATCATTCAAGCACCACCTGCCAGGAGGGACTCTACAGCCTTTAAACCTTGGCTTCTCCTCTTATTAGCTGCTGTACCTCACTGCCTAGAACAAGCCCAGCATGGAGAATATTCCCTGATGGGATGAATTAACAAATAACAGCTGTAATATCATTTTATCATATCCAAACTAAGGCTTAGAAGAGGACAGTGATTTGCTGAAGCTTCATAACTCAGCTGTGGTTGGGCCAGTCCTGTGTCACTCCAAAGCCTGGCTCTGTGCCCTATAGGCTGCCTCTGTTGAGACCTTTCCTTGAGGACCATTGTCCGCAGAACATCTGCAGCTGGGGCATGTCTGGGCGCTAGAGGGAAGGGTGGGAGGGGCTGTGGGGAAGATCAGAGCTCCCCAGCCAGCAGAAACCCAGGCCAGCATACAGGAAAGTCTGTGAGACCAGGAATGGCTTGAGCAAGGCTGGTGAGGCTGCTTTCCCCAGCCCCTGAATTACAGAGTGAGGCTTCCCTACAACTCTGCTAAGGCTGAAGTAGGGACAGTTAGGAAAAGAGAAACAGAAATGCGGTCCCAGGCATTGTAGACCCATCGTCTAAGGTGACAAGCAAACCAGGGTTCAACAAATTAGATAACGGTCTCCAGAGGCCATACAGCATAAGTGTGGATGCAGGGATCGGGCCACCTGTGTGTGCCAAGGCCGGGAGCGCTGAAGGGCAAGGGAATATAGAAAGATGAATAAACTGTGGTCCCACTTCAGTGGAGGAGATGGACATGGAAGTCCCAGTCTCTTCCCCATCCCAGGATACTTGGCAGAAAAGAGAAAGATTCCTTCTGGCTAGTGGGGAGGAGGCAGGGATGCAGGAGGGCTGCTGGGGGGAGGTGTCTCACGTTCTGAGAGCTCCCAGGGTGATCTGGGGCTCTCTCTACCTTGTGAGGATGATTCTGGGTGTCCTTCTGGAGGGGGTGGCCATGTACCGTGTGACCCCAAAGGGAAATTTTGACAATCTAGTGATCACTGTAATGTTTCACAGATAAATTTCCGCTGTAAGCCATCCTTTCGTGAATCAGGCTCCAGGAATGTCCGCGAGGTAAGTGCCCAGGGCCACTAGGACAGGGGGTTCCCCAGTTTCCTGAGTGGACTTCTCTGCAGTGCCTCCAGAGTGTCGCCAGGGGGCAGAGCTCCTGCTGGGCTGCTCTGGGGTCCTGGCGGTGCCGGGCTGGCCCTGCTGCAGAGGGGGTGAGGCACCGCAGGCCTCACTCTGCCTCCCAGCTCTCTCTGGCCCTCCTCTGAGTCTTAGATCCCCCTCCAGCCCATGAGAGAAGTCTCCAGCCCCTTTCCATCTCACAAACAGGACTGCGGAAAGCATCCTGTAGCCCCCAGCCCTCATGAGGATGAGTTGAGGGGTGCGGGCCATGCTCAGGGCTGCGCCCCTATCCACCTCCATCTCACTCCAGTGCTATTTCTCCCCTTCTCCCCCACAGCCAACCTTTGTACGGCACCACTGGGTACACAGGCGACGCCAGGACGGCAAGTGTCGGCACTGTGGGAAGGTGAGAGACCTTGCCCAGGACAGCGGCCACCTGCTGCCCATGGGCTGCACCCTGTGGCCCCCCAAGCCATGCTGTGTGCAGTGTGGCCTGCCCATCACTGACCGTGCCCCCAGGCACAGAGTCCCAGGGCTGGCACAGCCTGGCTGCAGTGCTGAGTCAGTCCCCAAACACTCTGGCCCTGCTCTTGGTCCCTGGGCTGAGCAGGAGAGCAGGTGAGAGTTTTCTCCTCATGTGGTGTGTCTGGCCTGCTTTGAAGTCATGAGGGACCCCTATGAGAATCATGTAGACTTATTCATTAACTCAGCAGACTTGCTGGGTGCCTCGTGTCCATGCTCTGAGCTGGGCGCTAGTTTCCTGCCCTCCTGAGGACATGTCGCTGGGAGACAGACTCTGAAGACCGTCTTTCCCCAGCACAGTCCATGGTGGTTCTGTTGACATCCTTGTTTGCTTGTCCATCTCCCTCAGGAAGTGAAGGCTCTCAAAGGTGCAGGGCATTCCTTGCTCCATGCACTCTCAGGGCCTGTCACAGGGCCTGCAGGTAGCAGACCTCAATAAGCAGGGAATGAATGTGCCAGGTGCTGTATAGAAGCGGGAAAGTACTCTCAGAGCACATGGGGGCCTGGCCAGGTCTGGGGAAATCTGAAGTTAGGCAGGAGTTAGCCTGTGGATCCTCTAGCAGAACCACGTGTGCACCCAGCACTTTGTAGCTACTTTAGAGAGTTGTGCACCCCTGGCTAAGCATCTCGGTCTCAGGACTTAGTTTGGCTTTTTTTAATTTTAAAAAGTGTGCTCAATTTCCCAGGGTAGAAAAAGATTGGCAACAGAAGAGGGTCTGGGGCTGCTGCTGTAGGCCTTCCTCTGGTGCCACAACCATCCTGTCTACCCTTAGGGCTTCCAGCAGAAGTTCACCTTCCACAGCAAGGAGATTGTGGCCATCAGTTGTTCCTGGTGCAAGCAAGCAGTGAGTGGCACTTCCCTCCTCCGAGGCCATCCCCTGGGCTGCGCTGCGTTTGGGTGCCCCCTTCCACAGCAAGGAGATTGTGGCCATCAGTTGTTCCTGGTGCAAGCAAGCAGTGAGTGGCGCTTCCCTCCTCCGAGGCCATCCCCTGGGCTGCGCTGCGTTTGGGTGCCTGGGGTCTCTGCTGCCTTGCTCATCCTCGCCCATCCCTCTTCTCAGTATCACAGCAAGGTGTCCTGCTTCATGCTGCAGCAGATCGAGGAGCCCTGCTCCCTGGGGGTCCATGCGGCCGTGGTCATCCCACCCACCTGGATCCTCCGTGCCCGGAGGCCCCAGGTAAGTCCTGCCTGCATTGACACTTCTCCCACCTGGCGTCTGCCAGCTTCCCCAGCCTACCCACTTGTCACCAACGCCCCTGCTTCCCTTGCAGAATACCCTCAAGGCAAGCAAGAAGAAAAAGAGAGCGTCCTTCAAAAGGAAATCAAGCAAGAAAGGGCCAGAGGTTAGCCCCAGAGCTGGGCGAGAGTTGGGAGGGAACAGGAGTGAGGGATCCTTTCTGGGAATACAGAGCCTCCTGGGGCTGGTGCTGCCAGCTCAGCTTTCAGTGGGTCAGTTTGGGCTCTGGGGAACCTGAGGAGGGCGGGGGGTGGACCCCAGTGGCTTCTCTGTGGCCAGGCTCATCATAAGGTCTGACCCACAGAAAGGGTACCCAAGGTTGTGCCAAGGGGGGATAAAAATGCCACCGGGGGGTCTGCTGAGGATGGGGGCAGGGTCTTCAGGACAGGAAAGACCTTACAGGCTCTCTCTGTCTCCAAGGAGGGCCGCTGGAGACCCTTCATCATCAGGCCTACCCCATCCCCACTCATGAAGCCCCTGCTGGTGTTTGTGAACCCCAAGAGTGGGGGCAACCAGGTAAGTCCAGCCCTCCCTCTCCACTGAGAACTTCAGGTGGGGCAGGGGGCAGGACTGTCTGCCAGCCACTGTTCCCAGGGTCCATTTCTGGCTTTGCCCAATCCCTCTCTCCCAGCAATCCTGAGACAATCCTGTCCCATCTTGCCTTTCAACCCTTACTGGACCCAGCTCCCACAGCCACAGCCACACCCTTCTCCCTGTGCTTCTCCCCACTTCATCTCCCACTCCCCCCCACCTCCTGTCCCCTCCCCAACACTTCTTCATTCCATGTCCCCCACAGGGCGCTAAGATCATCCAGTCCTTCCTTTGGTATCTCAATCCCCGACAAGTCTTTGACCTGAGCCAGGGAGGGCCCAAGGAGGCGTAAGTACTTGCCAGTGTTCTGTGGGGGACACCGGAGAGGGCTCGCCTGGCTCTTGGGGTCCCTGACAACATGCCTGTCTTCCCTTGACCCCAGGTTGGAGATGTACCGCAAAGTACACAACCTGCGGATCCTGGCATGCGGGGGTGACGGCACAGTGAGTCTTGGACGCAGCGCAGGGGCTGGGCCTACAGCCATGTTCCCTGCTGGCCTGACCTGGCCTCTCTGCTCTGCTGTCCTCCAGGTCGGCTGGATTCTCTCCACCCTGGACCAGCTGCGCTTAAAACCACCACCCCCTGTTGCCATCCTGCCTTTGGGCACTGGCAACGACTTGGCCCGCACCCTCAACTGGGGTGGGGTAAGCACCCATGGGACGGGTGGGTCGTGTGGCAGGGGGCTCTGACCACTTGAAGGGCTCAGTCCCTTCTTCCTCCCACCAGGGCTACACAGATGAGCCTGTATCAAAGATCCTCTCCCACGTGGAGGAGGGCAACGTGGTACAGCTGGACCGCTGGGACCTCCGCGCGGAGCCCAACCCTGAGGCAGGGCCTGAGGAGCGCGATGAGAGCGCCACCGACCGGGTAGGTGGGCCGGGCCCAGGCTGGGATTCCCAGGGGACCTGGCTGGGCCCTTAGGCACGTCTCACCTTCACCTTCTTCCTCTGTACAGTGGGAATAATGGTACTCATCTCACAAGATGGTTTTTTATTCAGCCGCTTTATATTATTCAGCAAATATTATGAGTATTTACTACCTGCCAGGCCCTGCACTAAAGCAACAAAACAAAGGTCCCGCCGGCATGGAGCTCTTACAGTATATGGCATGTCGGGCAGGGGGCCAGCAGGGCACCAGGGGAGCGGTGGGCAGATCAGGGCCGAGCGCTCTGGAGGGGTTGTCCCCTGTGTGGGGAAGGCTCTGAAGGTGCATGGCCAAGCAAGTGTGGTGGCTGCTGGGCTGGGCCCCTAGAGGGGAGGAGACATCTGCGAGACCCAGGCCTCATTTGGTCTCTTGACGTTTTTCCAGCTGCCCCTGGATGTCTTCAACAACTACTTCAGCCTGGGCTTTGATGCCCATGTCACCCTGGAGTTTCACGAGTCTCGAGGTTGGTAGCCTCCTCTTGAGAAGGTCTTGGGAGCCCAAGGAGGGGAGGGGCACAGGAATGTCCCCAGGAGTGTCACATCTCACCTCCACCAGTGAAAGTCATTCATTTCCAGCCCTCCCTCCCACCTAGCTTGGCTCAGAATGACTGTTTCCCATTTTTGTCTCCACCCAGAGGCCAACCCTGAGAAATTCAACAGCCGGTTTCGGAACAAGATGTTCTATGCCGGGGTGAGTCTGGGTCTGCTGGCACCCCCTCACACCCATCCATTCTACCACCCATGCCCCAAGCCCACCTGTGTCTGCCAGGCCATAGGAGCCCTGCTGGGAGGTAGTGAGAAAAGGTCTTTGTCACCAGATGGTGACACCTTCTGTCTCCCACAGACAGCCTTCTCTGACTTCCTGATGGGCAGCTCCAAGGACTTGGCCAAGCACATCCGAGTGGTGGTGAGTGGGGCCAGGCCAGAGGCAGAGCGGGTGGGCACAGGGAGAGGGCCACCTCCGCCATGTAACCCCAACATCCTTTCCATTCCTGCCTCCAGTGTGATGGAACAGACCTGACCCCCAAGATTCAGGACTTGAAGCCCCAGTGCATTGTTTTCCTGAACATCCCCAGGTGAGGAAGGGAGGGCTGTGGGTGGGCCCTGCTGCCCCCATCCAGCAGAGACTGTGTTTTGAAGCCCGTTGCCCTCTCCCACAGGTACTGTGCAGGTACCATGCCCTGGGGCCACCCTGGGGAGCACCACGACTTTGAGCCCCAGCGGCATGACGATGGCTACCTCGAGGTCATTGGCTTCACCATGACGTCCCTGGTGAGTGGGCCTATGGCTCTGCTTTCTCCTTGGCCCTGTGCCCACAGTACCTGGTAGCACGGCCTTAAGGTGGAAGGGGATCCCACACTCGCTTCATTGGTCAGAGTTGGGGGGCTCACCCCCACCTCCCTTCTCTGGCTCAAGGTTCGCTGTCTGCTCTCCTCTCTGACTTGACAGTGACTCTTAACCTCTCTCTTCTTCGTGTCTCGAGGACACCTTCACTCCCCCCAGACTGGGGAGTCACCCTCATTGCTCTGCCCCCTCCCTTCCCCAGCTGGGGTCTCACCCTCCTCTCTGCTCCCTGTCTGGGATTCACTGTCACCTTTGTCATCTGGCCAGAGCCCCACCCTAGCCCCACTGCCCTGAGTTTCCTGTATCCACAGGCAGCGCTGCAGGTGGGCGGGCACGGTGAGAGGCTGACGCAGTGCCGCGAGGTGCTGCTCACCACATCCAAGGCGATCCCAGTGCAGGTGGACGGTGAGCCCTGCAAGCTGGCGGCCTCACGCATCCTCATCACCCTGCGCAACCAGGCCACCATGGTGCAGAAGGCCAAGCGGCGGAGCACTGCGCCTCTGCATAGCGAGTATGTCCCACCCCCGCCACCATGTGCCATGCACCCTGAGGCTGCATGCTGCCCCGGCTGAGCCTTAGTCTCCCACCTATACAAGGGGATTAACAGTCTTCTGTCCCAGAGCTGCTGGGAGTTGGGCAGGATGTGCCTCTACCACTTGGTTTGGTGCCTTGGCGAGGACTGGTGTCCTGGGCAGGGCCCTTGCTGAGTCCCCTCCCGTCGGTCCACACCACAGCCAGCAGCCAGTGCCCGAGCAGCTACGGATCCAGGTGAGCAGAGTCAGTATGCACGACTATGAAGCCCTGCATTATGACAAGGAGCAGCTCAAGGAGGCTTGTGAGTGGCCGCAGGGCGGGCAGGCAGGGTGCTGGTTGCTGGGTCCCCGAAGGCACGGCAGTGGGCTGCAGCCATCTGCTAATGGACTGCTCTGTCCTCCAGCTGTGCCACTGGGCACCGTGGTGGTCCCAGGAGACAGTGACCTGGAGCTGTGCCGTGCCCACATCGAGAGGCTCCAGCAGGTAAGGGGTGCCAGGCGAGCTGCCCTCAGGAGCCTCTCTGCTGGTCCCACCTCCTCCAAGTTCCGGTCCCTCCCTGGCCCCAGCTCAGTCCCAGCCCCAGCTTTTGCTTCTGTCTCAACAGGAGGCTGATAGTGCTGGAGCCAAGTCCCCAGCATGCCAGAAACTGTCCCCCAAGTGGTGCTTCCTGGATGGTGAGTCTGCCCTGAAGGGTCAGTTCCTGGTTGTGCCAGACTGTCCTGCCCCCCTCCCTAGGGGAGCCTGGGTTGGGGCAGCAGAGGACCTGGGCCTGGACCTCCCTTGTCCTCAGCTACCCGTCTCTCCCACAGCCACCACTGCCAGCCGCTTCTACAGGATTGACCGGGCCCAGGTGAGCACCTGCAGGCCTGCTCCGTGCACAGCTGGTTCTGGGGCCCCCAAGGTCACCTCTCCCGGGAAGCCTTCCCTATTAGCTCCACATATGGGCTTGCCCTACCCTCCAGGCTGGAGTGTTATGGGATGGTGCCACCAGAAAAGGATTGCTGGGTGGGTGGGAGGACCTTAAGTTACAGTGCCATCCAGGGAGACACAAAAGAAAAGGCACCTCTGGCCTGGGGCTGGGTCACCTGGGCAAAGGCTTGGCAGTGGGAAGAGGCTGTTGAGCTGGAGGGTCCAGCATGCAGAGATCAGGGATTAGGCTTGGACAGTGGGAATGGAGAGGCGGGTGAGAGGGACTGGCAGGGCCACTCGCCCAGCTGCCTCCTGTCGCTGTTGGTGCTCAAAGCGAGGCTTCTCTAGGTCTGCCGGCCTGGCTGCCCCTCAGTCCCCACCGTCAGGTACCCTGCAAGACCCTGACCCTTGGCCCTGACCTCCCACCCACAGGAACACCTCAACTATGTGACTGAGATCGCACAGGACGAGATTTACATCCTGGACCCTGAGCTGCTGGGGGCATCAGCCCGGCCTGACCTTCCAACCCCCACTTCCCCTCTCCCCACCTCTCCCTGCTCTCCCACTCCCCGGTGAGTCCGGGCTGTCCGTCTCCTCCATTGCCCTGGCTTTAAATCCCATCTCCAAGCTGGCAGTTCCTGAACCCCTGCCTTCAGCTCCCACCCCTCCAGAGCACCAGATGCACACATCCAGCTGCCTGCCCACCCCGCCCCTCCATGGGTTGGCTAAATGGCATCAACCTGAATCTGGCCTGCCCCCAGGGAGCGGCCTCACATCCACCCTGTGCTCAAGACGAAGACCAGGTTATCTCCCTGACTTCTGTCCTCCCACCCCTGAACGTGATCCTTCAGCAAGGCCTGGCAGCTCCCCACCCCAGCACTCCTCCCCAGCTCCCCTGCCACCAGCCCAGCCAAGCCACCATGCCCCTGGCCTACAGCTCTTGTACTCCCTGCCCCCTACGGCCCAGTCTCCACCCGGTGGTTGGTAAAAATGCAGATCAAACCAGGCTACTCCCCAGCATAGAATCTTCTCTCTCAGCAGCCCTCACGTTGTGGACCCTCCCCAGTTACCTGTCATTGCCTGGTGTTCAGCCTGAGCCTGACTGCCTCTGACCTCCCCAGCAGCTGCCCCCACACCTCTCTTGGTTCTTTGAGGCCTTGGGTTTGCCCACCCCTGGGCTTTTGTCCTCACTGACTTAAAGGCCCCCCATTCACCACAGAGCCGCCCCCTCCCCTCATTCAAGTCTTAGCTTGGCTCTTTGCTCCTCAGAGAGGTCTTTCTCAGGAACCACATCTGGCGGTGCCACCTCCAGCCATTCTGTACACTACCCTGCTCTATGTTCTCAGAGCATCAACTGTCCCCTCAGAACATCTTATTTATTTGTTGCCCTGTCTCTCTGCACTAGAATGTAAGCTCCATGAGAGCAAGTTCTCCATCTGTCTTGCTCCTTGCTGTATCCCCAGTGCCTAGAACAGTGCTTGATATGTAGTAGGCACCCAATAAACTGTTGAAAGAATGCAGGGCACCCTGGTTGGGGCTGGGGAGAGCGACCAGCTGGGCCTGTGCTGTAGCTGGGTCACAGCTCCTGCTCTGTTTGCAGGTCACTGCAAGGGGATGCTGCACCCCCTCAAGGTGAGGCCTCTCTCCCCAGGGCCCCTCCTCTTTCCCTGGTCATTGGCCTGAGGCTCAGCGGGGTGGGACAGGGCCCTTACACAGCCTTACACAAACACAGCTGTCAAGCTCCACGTGGTCACGTCGCGCAGCAGCCCAGCCCTGGCACACACCCCAGCAGGCACACGCCTGCGCAGTGATGCATCATACGTGTTCATGCACCAGCCCAGGCCCCTGACCTCAGAGTAACGGCAGGTGTTCTGTGCAGGTGAAGAATTGATTGAGGCCGCCAAGAGGAATGACTTCTATAAGGTACTGGCTCCAGGGTTCCAGCCTCTCCCCTTGGCAGCCCCCTCAGGCACTGCAGAGCGGTGCCTCTGGATTGGGCCAGGAGCTGACCTGTCATCATCTGGCCCTCTGCAGGGTCTCCACACTGATTGTCCCCTCCTGCCTTGTGCTTAGAAAGGAGCGAGTCTTAGAGGATCCGCAAGCTCCAGAGCTTGGTTGTCTGCTCCTGGGGAGTCCAGGGGCCCCTGGGGTAGGCAAAGGCCATTGTCTCTCCCTTGACGCTCCAGAGAGACCCCCAGAGGTGCTGAGGGAGTGGTGCGTGTGAGCTAGGGGAAGGAGGGGTGTCCCTGAGGAGGCTCAGCCCTGCTCTGCCTCTTGCCCTCAGCTCCAGGAGCTGCACCGAGCTGGGGGCGACCTCATGCACCGGGATGAGCGGAGCCGCACACTCCTGCACCACGCAGTCAGTACTGGCAGCAAGGAAGTGGTCCGCTACCTGCTGGACCATGGTGAGCTGTGCTCCTGGGGCCCAGGGTCTAGGGCCAAGGTGGGAGGAAGGGAGGCTGCCAGGCCTCTCTGACCACCCCCTTCCCTCCTCCAGCGCCCCCAGAGATCCTTGATGCTGTTGAGGAAAAGTGAGTATGGCGGTGCAGGACCCTGGTTACCCTGAAACCCCCTCCCTTCAGCCCCTCCCACTTGGTCAGGTCAGAGCCCATAAACCCTTCCTGGCCATGGGCTGCCCCTTTTCCCAGGGCCCCAAACTTCTTGAACTTTCTGTGGCCCTTGGGAGACAAACAAGAGGGCCCAGAGGGCTGGATGGGGTTCACAGCCAGTCTCTACTCCCCAGTGGGGAGACCTGTCTGCACCAGGCAGCGGCCTTGGGCCAGCGCACCATCTGCCACTACATTGTGGAGGCCGGGGCCTCGCTCATGAAGACAGACCAGCAGGTAAGCAGACTAACAGGGTGCGGCCAAACCTTTCCCAAATGTGTGAGCAGGGAGCCAGCGGGAGGGCTGCCCTTAGGAATTTGAAGCTGTCCTTCAGCCAACACAGTCTAGCCCCTGAGAAACCTGAGCCAGCAGGGGAAGAGCTGGTGGCCCCATGAGGCTATCCATCCCTCCCCGGCTAGGCAGCTGAGGAACAGCCCTGCCCTCTCCTAAGCCTGTTAGGGGCCCACAGTCTCTGGGCCCTGCTGAGCACGGCTCCACCCTCACCCAGGGTGACACTCCCCGGCAGCGGGCTGAAAAGGCTCAGGACACGGAACTGGCCGCCTACCTGGAAAACCGGCAGCACTACCAGATGATCCAGCGGGAGGACCAGGAGACAGCTGTGTAGCTGGGGGCCCACTGAGGGCAGCAGGAGGGACAATGCGGCCAGAGGCTGAGCTGCCTCCTAGCCCATCTCACTGGCACATTCCAGTCAACTGGCCACGGGGGGACCCAGGCCCCAGGGAAGGAGCCCCGTGCTGCCCCCTGAGGAGCCGCCCAGACCCAGGGCTGGACTCTGAGGAGCTGGGGTCTCACCTGTCCTCCTGAGGCCACGGCCTGTCCTGAAGGCTCACAGGGGAACAGGAAACAGGCTGGGCTGAACAGGCCTTGGTGGGGACTGAGGCTGGGCCACTTGACGGTGGCCTCCCCCTCATGCAGCATGTGGCCTCCATGGAGTTCAGGGGATGGAAAGGAGGCCCAGGAAGAGCCTTCTGCAGCCACCTGGTGTTTAGAACGTGGCCCCGAGGGTCCTGGGAGCTCGCTGCTCGGACCCTGACCCCATCCCCCACAAGGCTTCCTCCGGAAACTCCAGCCTGCTGCATTCCCCTGCCCCTGCCCTGCTTGGCACCTACCCCCTGACCCTCCCCAAATACCCAGTCATTTCATCGTGGACTGCGTGGCCTGGGGGTGGGGGGTGGGGCTCTCACGGTGACATGTTTACAGCTGGGTGTGACTCAGTAAAGTGGATTTTTTTTCCTTTCTGCTTTTCTTCTTTTTGCGGGGGAAGTCTTCCAGCGGTAGCCGGGTCTACTGGGTTATCCTCAGGGTAGAGGAGCGGACACCGTCGACATGGGCCCTTTCCTGGGGGCCCTGCTTCCCGTCGGGGGGTGGGTGGGGCCCGAGGGCCTGCCCGGTTCCTGACCTCTGCCCGGCTGCCCAGCTCGTCGGGGGCCAGGGGCGGAGCTGATTTCCTCCCGCTTCCCGCTTCCCGCTGGGACGATAACAATGAAAGCGAAAGAGGTGGGAGAGGCCCAGGCCTGGGTTCTTTGGCCCCTTTGCCCCGTGGCCTTGAGTAAGCCCCCTCTCCCAGGTTGCTTTCCCTGTTTAGGGGGGTCGAGTGAGGTGATCCCTGAGGCCCCAGGGTCAAGAAGGGGTAGGCATCTGCAGCCGCCGCCGATGCCGGGTCTGGAACTTCTCAGACGGCTCCTGTCGGCTCCAAGTTTTACCAAATCCAGGCCTGCGGACCCCCCTCCCCCAACACGCCCGCCTCCCCTCAAACTGCGCTCCAAGGCGGGCGCCCCCCCGCGCCCCCAGCTCCCAGGCTCCCGCCCACAGCAGAGCATCTCCCTGCCCACTCGGTGAATGATCCGGGGGGCGGGGGGGCGCTCTCTCCCCACCAGCAGAGAGGCCGTGGGCGTGGCGCGAGGCCCCGGGGTCTCGCGGGGACGGAGGCCGCCCCCAGGCTCGAATGCGGGCACCGCGCCGGGCGCCGGAGCCTGTGACACTCGGGGCTCCTTGCCCCTCCCGGTCCCAATCGAAGGCTTCGCGGCCGGCAAGGGAAGCTGCGGCCTGAGAGCGGCCCGGGCCGCAGGCGTCCGGCGGGAAAAGGGGACGGTTCCCGGCGGGAGGCGGGGACAGGGACGCCGGCGTCTGCGGGTGCGAGGCCGGCGCCGGGAAGCCGGGGGGAAGCTCGGGCTCGCGAGGCGGGAGCGGAGGCGGGGACGCCGCCGGGGTCCGGG